TGTTTGACGTATATCACTGCAAGAGCGGAGCCGACATGAAAGCTTGAGGAGGGCCAAGTTTCCAGCACGGAACCGGCTAACAAAAAATCCGATCTGGAGAAAAGAACAGAAAGGAGAAGTCGATCTGGAGAGAAGTCGTGTCATTTCACCCTCTTGGAGAGAGAGCATGGTCCCTGCCAGAAAACGCATGGCCCCTGCCCGCACCCCCCCCCCCCCCTCTCGTCCCCCGCCCACTGGATCCACCACTGCCGGGCACACACCCACCTCGGCCGCGCCAAACTGGGCAGGGGGGCGTGTTCTGCGCGATGAACTCGTCGCTCCAGAAGCTCGGCGAAGCGACCAGAAGCGAGCGCAGAGACCGTAGCTTCCTCAGCGCCATGGAGTAGACCGGCGAGGGCTCCGCCGCGGCCTTGCGTTCTATTGACGTTGTCAGCACGGTCTTGATATCGTTCAGCAGAACCGACACCTGCAGCAGGGGACAGCTGACGCCGCGGGAAGCAGTGGTCGGGCGAAATGCCTCTACAGTTATCTGTGGCAGCGGTGGAAAATGATATTCCAGGCGTGTTTGCATCATACATCGGGCACGGCAATGCATTGCGGTGCCTTTACCGATGATATATATATATATAGATTATATATATATATATATATATATCAATCGAGTAAACGCACCGCAATGTATTGCCGTGCCCGTGCATGTATTTATATATATGTATATATGTATGCATTTATATATACATATATAATACACTATGTATAATATATATTATATATATATATATATATATATATATATATGTATATATATATATATAACGACATCGACCCAGTATAATACTTGCGTCCAAGTAAGGACAGGCACCACCTGAATCGGAATCATTTTGGTAGTCCCTGCAGGGGTGAACGCCTGCGGCGGGGACCACCTGTGATCAGCCACGGCAAGGCGAGGACCATCTGTGATCAGCTACGGTGAAGCGGCAGTAAGCAGCCGGAGCAACGGGTCAATGCCCCCCCCTTAGGTAACAGGAACGACTCTGTTCAGCGACCCATTTGAGATCACTCAAGCGGGTGGGAAGCGGGACTGGCCGTCGGCAGTGTCCGTCTGAGCGTCGCACTGAGTGCCCTCAGTGTTTCAGTGGACTTGGCAGTGTCTGCTGTTCGTGCAGCATCAATGAAAGCCCTCCTAAACTGTAACGTGGGGGGATATGCTTTATTTTATTTATTTATCATTTTTTGGTTATTGTCTCCGTGTCCAGTCAAAGTCCGTATCGCCAATGCTATATTCCCAGTAATTCATAGGGAATAACCGCCCTCTTGCCCACCAGCTCCCACGTCCTTGATGTTAGCGCAGGAAAGCCACTGACAAGGAGACGCTTGTAATTAGGGGAGTGTATCGCGTATGCCCAAAATACATTATTTGGATCCAATAACGGATAAAGGAGAGAGGCATGAAACCAGGAAATTTATTAGGTGAACTGTGATCGGCCTTTGTCATTTTGTCCTGCTCCTTCTCGCCCGGGTGTAGAATCGGTAGAACCACGTGAGCAAACGCCACTGACACCAAGCAGCATCTAAAGTGACAAGATCGGGTCTCATCCGTCACGAAAACTCAATGCTGATTGTAGCCAGTCAGAATGAGAGCCTTCTGCAGCATGACAGGGCGCCAAGTATAATTTCCGTTCATCGCATGTCCAACTTCACCTGTCGAAACGCCACGTGTCCTTCGAGACTTCAGACGAGGTCGCGCGGCCTCACCTCGTCCTTGAGCTGCTGTAGCCTCCCTCTGCCGGCGTCGCGAACGAACATGCCAGCCACAGGCACGGGGTACATGTCCTTCGTCAGATCCAGGCACATGTCCTTCAACTGCGCCGCCGGCGCCGGCGCCAGCATGTCCGCCATGGCGCTGAGGTAGTCCATCCTGGGGGACGTCGGACACCTTCCGGAGTCGGTGGAGGGGCACAGACTCTTCGAGGTTTGGTGCATCCTGGCTGCAGGGCATGTACGTTGCTTTTTTATGGTTCGGTGGTGTGCATACAAAATAACAATGAGCTCGCGGCTGTCAGGGAGTTCAAGTTAACGCCGAGCTTTTGGGAAACATGTAAGCCATTCCAAGTATATGTAAAGGACTATCTGCCGCAGCAGAGTTCATATACTCCACACAAATACTCTTAAGAAATCATATAAACTGGATATGCTTACACCTAGAAAGGTAAGGTTAAGAACATACTGTTTGCATTATACGTTTGATTCTTTTGATGTTACCAATGGTATGACCGCTAAACCTTTTTGGGTGTATTGATATTTTGCCCCGCGTACTACTACGGTAATCTATACGAAATAGCGCGAATCACGTCCCGCAAAGTGACCACCTGAATGTGGACATTGCCGAAAAGGTAATAGAAGTATACTGTCGGCAAACATTTGCAGATATTACGGTAGGGCATTTTGCAGTTTGCGTTTGACGACATCTATAACGACTAGTGTACTTCTTAGTCTGCTTTGGTTTGTCTCCATGCATGCACATACTTTTTATGATATTTCATCTATATTCAGTCTTGTCCAAGTGCATGTCATGCGCTTAGCTTGTGTCAGCCAAAACTAGATCAGGTTAGTCACACCATTTTAAAAAAACGGTCGAGGTGAAGTTTTCCAGCCTTCCGAAAGGTATTCATTTTTAGACTGAAGTGTTTTGTAGGTCCACAAGCCAGTTCACCTATCTCTGGTCATATTGAGCAGCTCTTAACACGCACCCGAGTGGCCATTTGAGCGCAACGCGCTCCGGGGGGGGGGAGTAATTTAAACCCTAAGATCTACCAAAAGTAAGAAGCCTAGAGACACTCAAATTCACAGGATATGTAGGCCTGTATGTGAACGCACATATGACAAATTTTGGGGTCCCTAGGGCATGACCACCTCAGGGTAAGATGATGGCAAACACATTCAAACTCCAGGTCCGTTGCGAGGTGTCCTTAGAGCTTCTCATGCAACCGTCTTTTACCTAGGTACGTGTTCTCCGCAAAAGGTCACTGATATTTATTTCAGGCCAGTGGCATGATTTGACCTTCAGAAGGTCACGGTGGCCAGGATTGCTTTGACTTCTTAAAGTTTAATAGGCGTTAAGGACTATGCTAGGCAGCATGTTCCTAAAACAACAGGCTGATCAGCGTTGTTTCAGGTCAGTGGCCCCTTCTGACCAATATCAATAAGACCAAACAGACAGACACCAAAAGGACGCCATTGTACGTGCCTCTCATCAATAAATTCGAAATGTGCATAACAAAACTATTTTGTGAAGCAAGCTCTCCAGCAAAAGGCAGTTCGGGTTTTGGTCCCGGTACGATCATCATGCCTTAACCGAGGTCAATATGATGTATTTTGTCCTAAATTCAACACTACAATAGTCATAGGAAACTGTCTGGAGAAATGCTCGACTACATCTAACACACCGATGTCGCATCCCCTAGGAATTACTTTCGCTGACATCCACGGTCTGACTTTAAACTGCCATAGATCAGCGACCTTACAAAGCACCTCTACTTTGTATACTAAAAAATCCGCTATGGAGTTACCTACAGCTGTACAAAAAAGTGGCACGGCTAAACTACGCCGTTAGGAATCTATTTTGAAAAACCTCCAGGGAGGAGCATATTTACTTTGACCCGAGCGCTTGTTTGTGATTTTAGATCTGGGCTGCACCGTTTACTCTGTGCTCGTACAGCTCATTGAAAGTCCGTTCTTGCGACCGGCGTGGGACATACCCCCACTACGCTTAAAGGGAGCGTTCTACATTTATATGTGGCTTTGAACTGAAATTATCTTTTTAAAAACCTTCCGGTGCTGCTCACAATCCTGACCTTCAGCAAACCTAAGCCTATCTAGTTTCTGAGCTATATGCCGACAAAAATTGGGAAGTGTTTTTCGGGAGAATATTTCAAGGTCACCTTGGCATTCATGGCATCACGGTAACGCCACTGAAATCATGCCATTCCATAAGCAATGCAGTGATCAAGGCCAAGAAAAAGATAAATGTTGGGGCGTCCATGTCTGGCGTTCCTGAGCGAGATCTCCCGATATAACGGCCGTTAGCCGACTCAATTAACGTTGCGTAAGGTACGATGACTTTATCAAACCATGGCGCATTGAGTAGTGTAGCAGCTAAACAGAGCATTTGCTGTCTAGAGGAGTGTTTTTCTTTCAAAAATATATCAATAGCTATAAGTCGGTTGTTTTATCATATCTGATGCTTTCTTCCATGTATGCAACCGCGAAACATACTCCCTAACACGTACGCCACACTTGGCATGGTATGGGTCACACCTGCTGATGACTTACTTTCGTTGTATAACCCAGAGCACAAAGGGCTATACAACGTATCTTCCCTGCCCTGAGGAGAGCTCCCAGAACTGTACGCCATTCTGGATTCAATAGCTTTACACGAAATTCAATAGCTTATTACAGGCTCGCGCGATCTATACGACCTCCGACTGACTGCATCGTTTTTGTTTCCGAGACAGACATAAGCTGTGCGGCCCGTCCTCGCCTGTCAGGGCGAGCGAAACGCTCGTCCGATGTCAGTTTAACCCGCAATCAGCTGGGAATGACCACCTTCCGAGCATCGCAAGAAGGTCGCAGAAAGCGACCACCTTCCGAGCATCGCAACAAGTCGCAGAAAGCGACCACCTTCGGAGCATCGCAAAAAGGTCGCAAAAAGCGACCACCTTCGGAGCATCGCATCTGCGACCAAAACAGGTCACAGAAAGCGACCACATTCCAAGCATCGGCCACAACGTCCAGAATGCGCAAGGCGCGTCTTCCAAATTTTCAGCACCTTGCAAGGGATAAATTTGAAACATTCCTGACGAAACATCCTTTGTCGTTTGGTGCAGCCGCTGATTGTGACGCTGTCAGTGAAGGCTTGTTCGGTTTCCTCCGATTCTGAGAGGTCCTGTGACGCGCGATTTACTGCCTTGTATAGGTCTGCTCCGATGTAACCCGGCGCCTGGCATGACAATCTGCCAGTCAGTGTCTGTCACGTCATGCAAAGCCACACTGGGTCACCATCAGGGGTAATGTCAAATTACCTTATGCGTATCGAGTCATAAGTACTTATCACCCCACTTGTGGCAAATGAATCGGTACAACTGTTATGTTTCCAGCCTGACTGTGCATGCAAGCGTCCATGTGGATTACAAGAGCAGCGTAATCAGGTCCGACGAGGTGATGTGGTGTTGACCTGTCGTGACCTTTACTTTTGGCCTTTATGTTAACATCATGGTATGGCTTTGGGGCGGAAGAACTCCTTTTTAAATGTAGTCGAAGATCTGGGCGATTTTGAATGTATTTGACGTGACCTGTGACGTCATCAGTCATGGATCATATATCAGCTCGCCCATTTCTGGGGCCGTCGATCGCTGTTCGATTTTTTCGATCGCGCGAGTTGATCCTGCGGTACCAGGAGGAGCCACTTTTAGCATCCTCGGCGTTGCAGATTACGTGATGTGCCAGGCGGCGCTCGGTTAAAGTGAAACATGGAAAGTCACGGCAGAGACCGTAAACAGCACTCGTTGCTTTGACACAGTGGCCACAACCCATGCAATGGAGCTTTATTCAAACACAAGTGGTGCTATTGTATTAGACATGTACGGATCCTCTGATCTACATATATATTAGATAATATATATATATGAAGAGTAGATATAAAGATATATAGAGGAAAGCCTCGATCCACTAGCTCGAGCTCTAGCGTTGGATCTATTTCTCTCTCTCATAGCTCTCGTCTCTCTCTCTCTGCTCTCTCTCTACTCGCTCTCTTCCTCTCTCTCTCTCTCTCTCTCTCTCTCTCTCGCCTCTCTCTATCTCTCTCTCCTCTCTCGATCTCTCTTCTCTCTCTCTCTTCTCTCCTCGCTTCTCTTCTATCTTCTCTTCTCTCTCTCTCTATCTCTCTCTCTCTCTCTCTCTCTCTCTCTCCTCTGTGCGTGTGCGTGTGGACGTGCGTGTGCGTGTGCGTGTGGTAGATATGTACGGATAGCTGTGTAGAAATGCTCGGAATCTGGTAAATATTCATGGGGTCAGGGCACGGCGGAGAATATCGCACGTCTCAGCAAATTCACAGCGAATTGCGTCGGAAAGGCTTTGGGGTAACCAGCGACCGACGGATCCAAATGTCCATGCACTATATTTGCAGTGTGGTAGTTCTGTCGAACTTAGATATTATAACCATTTACACAGTTTAAGACGCAAGCAGTTAAGTCACCGGTGTCCAACAACTCAACGTTCAATAGTAGGGATAAAATAATCTGCTATCAAACAGTTTTTGACTGCGATTGATTGAGCCCGAGGAAATAAATCCGTAAAGCTGTTCATCTTAGGAAGAGGAGGTGCGGTGCCAAGGAAAATATCGCGAAGAAATATTTTGCTGCCCAAGCCACATACACATTTCTAGCTAGTCATCCTGATCTTATGTATCTATTCATGCTAACTTGAGACGAGTTAAGTAAAATTTCGTTCTAAAAGGTGACGCACTCCCTATAAGATGGGGTCATTGGGCTGACACACGCACCTGTACATCAAAAGTAGGCCGTTGTGTATGGTGTGCGCCGGAAGAAGCTCAATCTTCATATCCAGGTCATCCAGGTAGCCGGGAAACGGTACGTATACAATGTCCGAACTGCTGACGTTTGCGGACAGCGCCTCGGATAGCAACACCGTCCAATTCACCTGTGGAGCACCGAAGATTGTCCTCCATGCTTGGGGAGCACCGAACACAGATTGGCACATCTGAAGAGCGTTAGCGTGGAGCACCTGTTACAGTCGAGCGGCACCGTGCGCAGGGTTTCATACATGAGCGGCACAAGACACGGGCGTAGCACTCCATGAGCACCACACTCCGGGGAGAACATTCGGGGAGCACTGAGCACAGCTTGTAGCACCTGGGAGGAGATCAGGGCGTCATTGTTGAGGCACCGAAACCGAACGCAGCTTGAGACATCCAGGTTCCGTTCTGTCCTGCTCCTTGGAAACCCAAATCGTACCGCGCACTGTTGGATGCAGTCTCAAACAGCAAGACATCCGATAAATTAACCACCATGTACAGTAGCCGATGACTTATAAATATCCTATCGATACTCGGCGTTAGATGCTATCGAAAAATTGGAACCCGTTCACTTGATCGGGTAAGCTCAGTGGCTCTGTGACGGAGCTGCCTCACCTGATCTGCCTGAGCTGAGCTGAGCTGCCTCACCTGATGTGAGGGAGCTGTCTCACCTGATCTGCCTGAGCTGAGCTGAGCTGCCTCACCTGATGTGACAGAGCTCCCTCACCTGATGTGAGGAAGCTGCCTCATCTGATCTGCCTGAGCTGAGCTGAGCTGCTTCACCTGATCTGTCTGAGCTGAGCTGAGCTGCCTCACCTGGTGTGACGGAGCTGCCTCACCTGACTTGCCTGAGCTGAGCTGCCTCACCTGATGTGACGGAGCTGCCTCGCCTGATGTGAGGGGGCTGCCTCACCTGATCTGCCTGAGCTGAGCTGAGATGCCTCACCTGATCGCGTCACGATTGCCGAATCTCACCCCTGTCTCCACTGTCATGCGACACATGCGCGCTGTGTGTGGTTGTTTACATTGCAACGCCTAGCAACCGCAATCCTGTATCAAACGTCGTGCCTGCCGGCCAGCTGGGCCCCTCTCGACCACAGCGACCAGTGTGATCAACAATGTTATTTTTGACCACATAGCTTGTCAGCAGCTGAGCGATGAGAGCTTCCTCAGTGGTCCGTGTTTGGGTGCACAGAAGGAGGCCCTGAGGAGCATCTGGCACGGAGCGCAGCCGACCACCGGCCGGATTCCACTGGGTGCGGGCCACTCCCGACCTCTGCCGGCACTGCGGCTGGCTGACCGGGGTCAGCGGCGACTGGGCCGCGGCTCGGGTCTGGGTCTGGCGGCCGGCGGCCCGTAGATCGCGTTTGGGTCGGGTGTCATGGGGTCAGGGGTTGTCATGGGGTTGAGCGCTTACGACTGCTGCACACTGACAACTTTTTGTTGTGTTGTGTTGCGTTGCGTTGCGTTGCGTTGAACTAAAAACTGAAAGGTAAGATATCAAGAAGATCACGCACACATTAAAGTAAATGTTTTGCATTTGAAGATAATGCAGCGCGAATGAGACATGATGAAATCAATTCAATTAAACCTATCGGTGTATTTTTCTATAGAAAATTACTCTGGAAAACAACATTTTTCTTCTTAGTAAATATACTCGTCAATACGTCATTGCTTAATTGCGTCATGGGTCGCTTGTGTGACGGTAAAGTGCTGCCAAACTAGTGTGAGACTGCAACTTACCTGTAGTATCTCAACCTGGACGAGAGATGGCAGCACAGGCTGGAAGTGTTCGCTGAGCCGAATATCGTTATGTACTCGTGTTTTGGCCCTTTCTCATTTTCCTGTATACTCACCAGTGAGTTTAAAATGCTACCTTGCCTTCACATCACCGGATGTGGCGCTATTCCCAGGTTATTCCATTCCAAGTTTTATTTCCGTAATAGCTAGCAAATGAACAAACCATATCCAACTTACATCAGGTAGCATAAAACGTGCGACTTGGTTGAAGCTTGCGCAGCTTGCTCGACAATGATTGAGTGTCAAATGACATCCACTATATTTAGAAATCACGCCCACAGACGCTAGATCTGAACGACTGAATAATAATCTCATACAGCTCACGACCACGAACAAATGTGGAATACTCTCTTTAAAGAAATTGCTCCGGGTCCATTTGGCATTTTGAGCTGAAAAAGCCTTTCGTGAAGATCATTCAGTGCAGTCCACAGCCATGCGTTCCTTAAAGTGAATGCTCCACATATGAATATATTGAAGCAAGCATCATAGATGATGAAACGAGCTTGCTCATAGCTATCGGCATAATTATGCCGATAGCTATGAGCAAGCACTAGACAGCACTGCTCTGCTCTGCTCTAAGCAGCACAATTTATTTTCTTAGCAAGAAATGGTGACGTGATACATGCTCCGCGACTTTTTCCTCACTCCGTCACTCACTTTTTGAATGCGTCACTTTTTGAATGCGTCATCGTACCTTGCACAGCATTGATTGAGTGCCGACTGACGGCCGTTCTATCTGGAACTCCCCTATCTGGTTCTATACGGATTTCCCCAACTTAATTTCCCCATCTTCCCGGACGTGCGGCTCAGAAACAAGAGGGGATACATCTTAAGAAGGGCGTGGATTTGAACAGTACCAAACGACCTTAAAGATGGCTATTTCAGTGCAAAACCATCACAGAAATGTGAGACACTCCGTTTAAGAACAAGAACCCTCTAGTTTCTGAGCTACACGCCCGCGAAAATGTATAAACTTTTTCGGAGAGACTATTTCAAGGTCATCCCGGCATCAATGACGCCATAAAACGCCATTCAAGTACTGTCTTTCCATTACTTATGTGGCGACCGAGGCAAATAAAAAATAGGTGTCGAGTCATTCATATCCGGCGTTCCATAGCACCATTTCAAGATATAACGGCCGTCAATTGGCTCTCAATCAATTTATTGCGAGATACGATGCCGTAGTGAAGCAATGGCGTACTGAAGAGCATATCTGCTTGACAGGGAAATTGAGTTGCTTAGAACAGTCTTTTCCACTTAAAATTATACCAACAGTCATAAGCGACCGTATCACATCGTGTCTGATGATTGCTTCAAACATCCTCAAATGTGGAAAATTGTATCCAGTGTAATCAGCCACCAGCGACAAACCTTATCTGGTCAAAATAGTAGACAATGGTGTGTTATTCAGCCATCGCTTGCAAGGACCGAAAACTTGACCGAAATTCAAGTTTGCATCTGTCAAGAGTTGCCCCCCCCCCCCCCCCCGTCATCACGTACGTAGACTGCAATGGATTAGTGGGCGCGTTTTTAAATTTCACTGACTTCGTTATGTTACTTTTCAGTTCCGTCTCGCACCGCACTGCACCGTGCCGCGCCGCATCGCATCGCATCGAATCGAATCGAATCGCATCGAATCGAATCGAATCGCATCGCATCGCATCGCATCGCATCGCATCGCATCGCATCGCATCGCATCGCATCGCCAGTGTGGGCGGCCTTTACATCGCCGTGCGTTAGCGGCAATAGGGTCCTGCAAGCGTAAGCGCACCGGTTTCTGCGCGTTTACTTCACGGATCTCACCTAACACAGAGTGGGATCAGCACCACTTTCTACCCGTGTGCATCATCATCACTTGTTTGGGCATGGGCAATTGATCATTTTACCATGGTAAAATCAGGACAGTAAGTATGCTTCTCTTCGTCGCCAGGGCTTGCATGAGGGCTAGCAAATGATCTACTTCACGTAAGGTTTGGGCGCTTCAGTGCTTTATATCAGAGTAAGTGCGAAGGCACTTAGTGTCGTTGTCTTCCTTCGCAATGCCAAAGTGCACACCTGAGATCTGGTGGTTTGAGCAGATCACATGCTGGTTGTTTCAGCCCAACTTGGCTTGCCCTCACCATGACGTTGGCAGTGTCTACTGCGATGGATGCATGCACTTTGGGTTACCTTCATTCACATTCTTGACAACCAAAAAGGTGTCTTTGGAAGACGATTGGCATTGACGCTTTTCTTCTTTCTTGTAGGGTGCCTCTGGGCCAGTCCTCCTCGAGGACTGACCCAGAGGCACAGTTCACCAAATTCCTGGGTTCTGCTTTTTCAACTCCGACGTTCACATCCAGCTTTTCTCTTTCACTTGCCCCCCCCCCCTCGTCTGGTAATGGAGGCAGGGAGTATGACACACAAAAGGTCAGAATTTTAAAAAACTGGCCCATATGCGATGTTTCTTTCCAACCACATACGTCACATGAACCAGCTTCAGTGTTGACATGTAGCCCAGCACCTAGCTCAGCCCTAAAAGGCACAGCTGCAGCATAGCCTTACGCTTCTCCAAATGACCGTCACGCAAGAGCAGTGGCCGAACCAAATGATGCCTGTTTCCCCTTCAACCACAGCACAGGAGGGGCGATTACCGGCTTTGTAATTTTGCAACATGATATTCGTTAAGTGAGCTGTATTTTTGGCGAGGCACGACCAGTATCCTAACAAAGGCTACCTCTTTGGAAAGGTCCAGGTCCCTCGTTTTTTGACGTAGCTTGAGAGGGCGTGAATGTAAACCTTCAAGGAACTACACGCACGCATACCTTGATTTGATTACGTAATCGCGGTATGTGCAAAGCCACAGCACCGGTCGGGCCGTTTGATGCCTCAGCGAGGTTGGCGCGCTACTGGGATTTACCGTCGCCGCGTCTGCTTCCTACACGCGTCCTTTGTGCGCGTTTCTCTTTTATTTCTCGAAGTGGCTGGCTCTGCCAGTGTCCGAATCGTGCGAAGCCGGCGTACCTATCCGGATCCAGAACAGGTGTTCTGAAGTGACACCGGGATATGCCCAAGCTTCGCGGAATGATGTAACATCGCCAGACACACTTTGAAAATGATATAAAACTTCGCGGAACCCAACTCAACCTCCAACACCGACAAAGCATGTCGATGCCCAATGAAAGAGCAATCGAAAAACTTCGCGGCACGAGTACATACACATAATGCGCTACAATTGCATTCCACACACCCAGTGGTGCCTCTTGCTATGGGTGACAAATATAAAATCAGTGAATTGGAAATAGGCCCGGGGCGCATTCCTGGGTAGACGAGCAAACTAAGCACGCGGAATGGCGCATTCCTGGGTAGACGAGCACTCTCAACACGCGGAATGGCGCGATCCAAATCAGACTTAGGGGGCGCCACGAGCGGCATTTAAACATGAATGACGGAGCACCTGATAGATGAAAGGAGATCAAAGGGTCACCCGCCTCGTGCACCGAGGCTATTTGGCGCGCCTTCGTCATCATGTTACCATATCGATTGGCTCCGTCCAAGCGCGCATCTGACTTCCATCATATCAGGCGGCCTTGAGAGAGCTGTTGTTTGTCGCGCTGGAGCACACTGTCGAGGGACTCGGATGCTCTGGCACTGGCGGCAGACCGCACTTAGAAACGCCACCAGGGACCGGCAGATCACGTTTGGAGACGCCACCAGGGACCGGCAGATCACGTTTGGAGACGCCGCCAGGGACCGGCAGATCACGTTTGGAGGTGCCACCAAGGGCCCGCAGCCGCCGCCAATTACGCAAATTGTTGAGCAATATGTTGGTGGACGGCCAAGCAGGATCTGCTCGGAGCCATTCATGCGTAATTTGTACGTGAATGGTGGTTTCCTACGGACACAAACAGCTATGAAATAAGACCCGAAATAAAGTCAATTGGCTCATTGATTGACGCACGGCCCTCCGCATGATAAATGCTCTCCCCCTTGGACACAAAGACCGCAAACATGTCTGACAGACTATCATTTGATCCCTTTTTGCCGCTAGTCTTGATTTCACGTCATAAACCTTTGCATTGAAGTTGTCGTGGGAAGACTCACCTCCTTCTTGAAGCATTGACTTGATTGCTGATTTAATTTCTGTGCGATCATAGCCATGGTCCTCCCTGTCCTTGTCGTTGCATTTGCGTGCTCTTTCCAGCGACAGATAAGGTACTGATCGAGTCATAAGAGCGGGCCTCGCTGCCACCGTCACCGAAGCGTTGGCGTAAAATTGAAAAGATCACGTGACAGACTGCGTGCCGAAGTGTAATGCTAATCTTCAATTCTCATCTCACCACGTTGCACGAGGCTCCGTCTCTGTGTAGAGTATGCAATCCAGTATGTACTGATTTATCGCTCGCTTGTACACACTGTAAGGGCCTCACGGTCGACGTTGGTAGATAAACTGCTGTTCTGACGGCGACCCTGGTCATTATGTTTAAATATATATGAACTACAGATTAAAGTGTCCTAAAAGACCTGTGACCAGACGCTCTATTTATCTTGAAGGACGTCAGTGGGGCAGTTTTGGCAGTGCTGACCTTCAACCCTCGGTCTACGGGGGTTTTTCGTCTTCGCCGCGCGAAGGAGGGGGGACTCTAAGGCGATCTAAAATATCGAAATGTAAGCAAGGCAAAGCCAAACAAAAAACAGCATTAAACACCTGTTGTCAAATTGATCACATAAATGTGATTGAACAATGGTGAATGTGGTCCTTGACAAGTGAGGATAGGTGAAAAGGGTCAATTAGCACTTAAGAAATCCATCATGGTATTTCAAGAACAAATTATGATGCGACAGCGCGGAAGACGAAGTCAAATAACTAAATATCTTTACAAGATAAGCAATCAGCGCGAGACACAAAGTCTAATGCACATCCGACGCTGCCACAGTTTAAGCCCAAAGCGAGCGCAAACTTCCCTCCAAGGCCGGACAATAACTCGCCAGGCTGTCACATAACCAGCCAGCGTTCTCGACTCAACGGGGCCAATGATGTCACGATGCTAAAATTGGCAGCTGTGGTACCGCTCTGGCGCTATCAATACCGATCAGCCTACGCGCAGGCAGCACGACTGCGGTCACCATCAGCCTCAACCCACGGGGGGGGGGGAGGGGGGACTAACGTGATGCCTGATCCTGTCTGAAACGTGGGAACAGCAGAATCGCAGCCGAGGCTCTGCCCGTCGCCAGTCAAAACTGACCCCAAATTTCGGTCAAGGTAACTTCAGTTTGTGTCCAGCCCGTGGCTCAATCGTTTCGATTGTCGGCCTTCCATCCGGCCCAGCCGCGTCGCGGTGGGTGGGGTGCACTCACTTCGGCGGCCGCCGTTCGCTCCTGGCTGGGGCGGCCTGCGGCTGGTGGCAGCAGCCGCACCAAGGTCAAGTGAGGTCAGAGGGCCGGGCGGGCCGGGCCGAGCACTGCGGCATATTGAGCTAACACTGCAAGATTCTGTCCCTAAAATGGAGCTTCAGGATGAGAGGGTGAGGTCCAGGGTTCACGCGTGGAGTACTGCTTAGCGTGAGCTCTGATCTCGGAAACATGTCCAACCAAAATGCTCCGGCTAAATAAAAAAAAACAAACGTGCCAAAAAACCAAACGTGCCAGTTGTAGAAACGAATACCAGTGTACAATAACCAGCAGCATGAAGGAATGTGCGTCCTGTGACGACAGCATGAGCAAGGACGTTCAAACAACGCTCCAATAAAGGGTGACCTTGAAAAGAATGCCTCTCAGCACGGCCAGCTCGAAATGCACACACGCAGTGCATTTCTGACACATGATACCGCAAAGGTTCTTGTCCGATGTTTTCAAGCTGCATCCACATTTGGAGCTAAAAATCCACAAAAAAATCCCGTCCAGCGCTTCTTCTTGTCGTTGGCAGACTTTATAGAAAGAGTAGAAGAGATGGATAAAATGTTTGGACACACAGCTGGAAAGCCGTTGCAGATGATACTAAACCTTTGGACGTTTCTAAGGTGTGCTTTAAAACACTTCTGGGGAGCTCCGCAAGATCTCCGACTGAGGTCGATCCTGGAGAGGGGCTTCAGAAGACAGCGGCAGTCAGTCCTCTCAGGAAATGTGAGTGTCCCAACGGCCTTCAAAAAGCACCCCTGCAGGGGTCAGAAGCGTGACTCCTAAAGGCATTCGCAAATACGGAACACAATTCAAAACGTTCGGGAAATCCGCCGTGCGATCGGTGCGAATATACCATGCACAGGAAGGGCTACCGGGGGCTGGGCTCTGTCCGGTCGAAAACTTACAAACGTGTATTCTGATTCGAGATCGTCGACGGTCATTGGGTTGACGTAGACTTGTTCGCCGTGTATTTCCATTTCCACTTTTTCTCTGTGACTTGGCGTTATCTGAAAGGAAGCAGGCAGAAGCTCATGAGGCTTGAGCCCATCGTCGGTCTCTCTCCCTAATTAAATGTGATGTTTCAGCGCTGAACAAGCTTCAGCAGAGCTAAGCCGCTACAAGCTAGACAAGCTGCAGAATTTTATACACACCGCCTTGAAAACACACCTTATAATGTCATCCCTTTTTGAAAAGGGGATTACTAACAACATCAATTCGGGGGTGATTACGTTAGCAAGATACCTTACCATAGCCATTGAAGACAGGAAATTTTTCATGTCGTCAACGTCGGTGGAGTTGAACTCCGATGAATGATTTCCGGCGTGGATGTACTCTTTGAAAAACTCCATAGAGTTCTGTATGTGATCTTCGGAGGCAGCATTCTGCGGAAACGTTGTTAATGTCATCAGCGGTGCGCCAGGAAGAGGTTAGGGGAGACAGAACTAAGTATATCTCGCGAGTTTTGAGACATGCAAGCAAAACCATCGTCGATGGAGCTTACCACTGAAGTGCTATGTCTCCCTGAATTTATCAGGGAAAATAATCTTGCTTGCTTTAAAGGGAAGTTCACATTTGAAGATGTTGAAGCAAGCATCAGACATTACGAAAAAAGCTTACTTACATCTTCTAGTATACTTCTACTGGAAAAGGCTGCTCTAAACAGCACAGTTTTCTGTTTAGTGCATATGTTCCCAACACGTCTTGCTCGATTACATCGTCGCAGCTTGCACAGCGCTGAAGCTTATATCACATTGCCAGCCGCTACGTCTGGAAATCATGCTCATGAACGCCAGATATGAATAACTCGACGACTATGTTTTTATTGACCTTAATCGCTGCATGGCCCATGTCAAGGCAGGATTTGTATGACGTTATTATGATGTCATGGATGTCGGAGTGACCTTCAAATTGTCTCTCCGAAATAGTCCGCTCGTCTCGACGGGCGTATAGCTCAGAAATCAGAAGGGTTTGCGTCTTAAGAAGGGCGGGACTGTGAACTACACCGAATGCTCTTCTGAATGGCTATTTTTAATTAAAATCACAAACAAATGGGGAACACTCCATCGAAACTGGACTGCGCTGTTGATCCACGAATGAGGCTTGCCAAGATATTAATACAAGCATGACGAATTCCAAAGCTCCGACAGCTCACAAGCGCTCGGGTTTGAAAAGCCTGTACAACGGAACAGGTGAGCACTTACTTTCAAATGTTTTCTGGCCACTCCAGCTGTTGCATGTGCACAGACATGCAATGCACATCATTAAATGCTGCACATCATTATAGCTATCCGATAACTGATTCAAGCACTCGTAACTGGCCGCCAAAACTCAATGAACTGTGACGTTGCCGCTAACCATGGTGGTTTTGATGGGCGACAGATGTTAGATGGCTGATAGATGCCTCAACTTACGAAATTTTTAGCACATAAATGGTGCAGATAGCTGCAAATAACAGTACAACTTTCTCCCAAGTTAGAAGTTACTGGGCCTAATTTTGCAGCGCAGCACTTTTGCAGATACGCCTGCGTTCGTATGTACCTCGCTTCCCTTATTTAAAGCGTCTTAAGTGATGAAAATAGAGTTGAATCTACATTTGCGAAGCGTTAGACAATATCTACAATTGTTGATAGCCTCAGCGTTCATATATCATGTAACAGAAATCACCAACGGGCTGACACTACACCATCTTAGGTTTCCCAACCCCCCACGTTTGTTAGTAAAAAAGCCATATTTGTAACGTTCGGCCAACAGCGGGCTCTCAGAAACCCACTAAGCGCTTTCCGGAGATACGAATAAGTTACCGGAATGTCGTACTCGTCTAATGTGTTATAAACACACAAAGTTTCGGCTAGCTAACTCTCCGGCCGTCATCAGGCATTATGACGTCCTGAAACAAACTGGCTTTCTCAGACCTTGTCAGTGCTCAGTATCACCTGACAGCGGCCAAAGAGTTAACTGGTCGAAACATTAAGTGCATTCTAACACACCAGACGAGAACTACAAGCGGAATCATGATTTCATCCGTGATAATATTACAAAAACTGTATCCGACGCTGAAAACAGACGGATGACAAGCAAACCACGACATCGGGGAAGCGATGCCCCAGCAAACCAGAACACTTACCATGCGAGGCCTTCCACACCCAGGGGCTTCGTCCGGGGCCTACCAAGGCCTTGCGAGGCCTTGCGGCCTTTTCCTCGGCGGACGCGTACTGACCCTTGATGGTGGCTCAAGGCATGCCGACAGTGACGGCACAGTCCGGGTGGCACGCGCTATGGTCTCAATGCTCAATAAAGTACGTGTTCTTTCAATAGTTTACCGGAATGCGGCCGATGTCCGATTTACCCACTTTGGGTCACCATCAAAAGAGCCACTTCATCGTCAATGAACAACGAAGGAGATTAGTGTTCGTTGTAAGCGCTAGGTCGTTGAAGAGAAGTTTAGGCAGCAACGAAACGGCGAAGGGAATACGACATGATTTTGGTCTCTAACGCAAAGCGGCATTTAATCATGGAGCGGGTTCAACTCGTTTTGCAGTAAAGCACAAATGTTCATTGATGCACCTTGAGATAGACTAATCATGAATGGAAAAGTTGTACTGGCTATCGTTCACGTCTGTTGTGTCAGTACAAACCGACATTTCGGCCAGTTAACTCTCTGACCGTCGTCAGGTGTTCTGGAATCCTGAGAAGAACTGGATGATGTTTGACGTTAAGCCGCATGCGCGTCACAACTTGGAAATTGCTGGGATTCCAACAAATATAATCTGATTGCTAATACAGTACTCTACCAACTGAGCTAACCAGGAAGAACAATTTATGGCGTTAAAGCTTGGTATCATTTATCTCCTGAATTCTTGGCAATTTTCCCACAAAATTGTGACCCGTAATGGGCTGGTGTCTACGCTCGGCTTACTAATGGAGTTCTCAGCCAATGCCATGTGTGCCGCCATGGCGTTCATGGTGTCCACAGTTCATGTCCACAGAATGGGTTGGCCTTTGTCCGCCAGAGTGCGAAGTTTCGTCCTCATGGAGGAGGCGCGTCGGTAAGCTCCGACACGTCATTTCCTCCGACCTGGTATACAGTCCAGCGCCACTGTTGCAAAGTGAATCTCCCGCGGTCTCCCTAAGTCCTGCTCTGAATAAACCCGACCGGCCAGAAGCCGACTCTGATTAAGACGCTTGAAGCAAAACAGACGGAAGCTAAACAGGAGTCTTCATTGACGAAACAGGATCGCCGGCCCAATATTTGGTGCAGATATCCCAGTTTGAATTCACCAGCCCTGTTGAGCTGGGGCGGAGAGCCGCCGCCGCTCCATTAAAGGGTTCCTGTTCTGCGTATGGCAGATGAAAACCAGCGCCACAGGAATAAGCTCGACCTTGCATGAAACCGACGGCCGTGCCAGCGGCTGTGCTGGGCACTGACGTGACAGGCGGTACAGGGCGGAACTGGCGTGCAAAAAAGCATGGTGGTGTGGAGTGGGGCCGCACATGCTTCGGCACGTCACCGCTCAGCCGTCAGCGATAGGTTTCAACATTGTAAGCCGAGCCATGCGCACGTTGCAGCTGAGGAAGGTATAGCTACGGGAAAAGAGATGCCCAGCCTGGTTGGTGCAGCACGTGGTTATAATGTCATGAAAGCACATGAGCGTGATGAATCGATCACAGGAAAAATGTGCAACGTTATTCTGAATATGCGTGCCCCCAAGTTCAGATTGAGGGAGCATGCGCGCTCCCAAGTTCATTTCAAGGGTCATTCTGTCCTAGCGTGGGGTACGAATCGACCGCCATTCTGGCGACACGTGGCGAGGTCTTCTGGTTGATCCGAAGCCCTTGGATGGGTGCATCATACACTGCTCCCCTGTCTGATGCGGGAGGCTCTCTGACCCGGCGGTTGACTCCAGATCGACGCAGGAGTCCCCATTGACGAAGCAGGATCACCGGCCCAATATTTGGTGCAGATATCCTAGTTTGGATTAACCGGGCCTGTTGAGCTGGGGCGGGGAGCCGCCCGTTCCGTTAAAGGGTTCTCACTGTCACCGCTTCCCCTGACACTTCAATTGTCTGTTATGGACCGCCATCATAAACTATTGTATTTCCTTTCACTGACTGGCAGCTCCGACAAACCCAAGAGGTCCCCTGGCATTTGGAGTCTACTTCCTGTTCATGGTGTTAAGTAAGCACATTCGATTTTCTGTGCCTACCAGAAAACATATTAAACTCGTTCCAGTGCGAAAATTTTCAATCGCTTCTTGCCCCGTGCATGCTGCATACATATGATGGAATTGTTAAAAAAGCTTGTGTTTACATGCCCTCTTACACCTTGCAGTTAGATCGCCCCTCCCTTGTTTTCAATTGTTTCGTTCATGAGTTGGTCTGGCTGTGGCGGTCGGTGGCCCAATAGAGGGAATCACCACCAAAAGGCCCAACGAATACCAAGAGGGTCAAGAATGGACAAGATCGATGGTCAATAATGGACAAGTTTCTCATGCCCCAATTCCATGTCTTCATTTACAAATAAGCGCATCTTGCTATCCACTAGCACATTTATTATGCCTACAGATCTGCACCTGCCACACCTCCTCAGATGCGGCCAACCGCAGGTCTACAAACCCGGAAAGAGAGCAGACTTGTAGGCTAGCGTAGACACGTCTTTGAACCGGGAGCTGCCACAGTTTGTGCGAGTATTTGTCGGCGCGTTCAAATGTTTAGGCGAAATCAAGGCCCTAGAACAGAAGGTATGATCGTCTGGCCAAATTCCGCCGTTTCGACTGATGACGTCACAAGTGTAATCGGCACGTAATGGTCAACAGCGGATACATGCCCACCGCATTTTCCTTGGCTTTTTGAAACGGTTCTTATACTGGAAACCGTTAAACATCTTTGGCTGGGTCATAACAAGACTATTTCTTTTACACACAAGCCATGATATCAGCTGCAAGGTTTATTAATCATTAATTAGCTGGCGTCCCAACCGAGCGCCTCGGGCTGTAAAGCCGGCAGAAAAAACTCTCACAAAGCTTTTTCGGGAATATATATGCAAACGGAAAAAGCAAATGGGGGCATCTTAAAGAAGTAACAATTATAAATCATACTGACATGAAAGGTCAAGGTCAGGGCAAAGACCTGCAGACCCCTGTTACATGTTTGCAGGGGCTGGGTCAATTAAGGCCTTTTATGACTTCAAAAAGTATATGCTCTTTGGCTAATTGAGGATGCTGTGTTAAGAACTTGTAGATGCCACAATGAGGTCAGGTCAAGGTCATTCCATAGGTTACCGTCATGATCTGGTGTATTCATGCGACCAATGATTCCAAATATTTTCACATTCATGTTGCTCGCGCTGTGCAGTTAAAACGTCAGGTACAATTTTGTTCCGGTC